TTTTTTAGAGTGTAGTGGTGCAACGGGAAATGTAGCTACTCTTGATCAAGTACGTGCATTGGATTGGGTCCAAACCAATATTCACGCATTTAATAGCGATAAAAACAGTGTTACATTATCTGGACAATCAACAGGCTGTTCGCCTGTTCTAACTATTGTACAAAATCGCCACGTTGAACGTGATCGTCGTCGATTTCACCGTATCATTTGTGAATCGAGTCCATTATCTGTAACGTTGTGTGATTTAGACGGATCAAAACAGTACAATTCAGAATTTGCCAGTGGTTGTTCACCGTCAGCTTATCTAAATAAAACAGCTGAATATTTGCGCAACTAAACAATAGATCAAATTATTAAAGCTGAACACACGGTTATGTCGAATAGATCAACATATTCAAACCATTTAGTTATCGGTGATCAGCCTTGGTAACCTACACTTGATCTAGATGCTTTTAAATTGAAATACAGTTCTTATAAATTCTTTAAAAAGTATTATTTTAAAATTGATATGTCAATCATTCTAGGCAGTACAAAAAATGATGGTCTTGAGATGATTTATGGTGTAACACCACACTCTTAGCTACGAAAATGGTCAACTGTATATAGCCTCAGTGTGGAATCGAAGAAATCTTCCAGCAAGTGAAACACTCTATATTATTAGTCCAAATCTGAGCGATTATGACAATATTTTAGCGCAAATTTGTACCGACTACGTTTATGTCTGTCCTGCGCGTTATTTTACATCATTGCTTGCTTCTGCTGCTCATCACTCTTGGCTCTATCTCTATGATTATATACCGGAAGATGCTGTTAAAGAAATAACCAGCTATTCTGGATTTGGATCTGAGTGTTTTACGAAAGTGTGTCACGCTTTTTTTAGAGTGTAGTGGTGCAACGGGAAATGTAGCTACTCTTGATTACATGTGACTGCTCTAAAATCTTAACGAATTACATAACAAGATACAAAAATTATTTTCAAATCAAAAAACAATATTAAACAAACTTCTCCACCACCATCACCATTACTTAGCTCGCCAACATCAAAACTATCATTATCAGAAGTGACTATAAATGTAAGCATTTAGAATATACATTCTTGCTTATCTAAGAAAAATCATTTTGTCGCCTTCAGTATATACTGGTGAAAATATTGCATTTCATTCTTTGGCCTGATCTATACTATGAAAACTAAAAGTGAATTGAGAGAGTTCATCAGCCAATCGGCCAACCTCGTAATCCTAAAAAATTTTCACACCCCATTTTATGCTCAGCAGAAAACCCGTCAAAAGTTAGGCATTGAACCTAATTTTT